TACCTATAGAAGCTTTTCTTCTTGCCCTTAAATCCCTGGCCAGATTTAATTCTATCAGGGCTTTAGCTTTCCCAACCTGACCCCTGGCTGCTCGGACAATTTCTCTGTATTCCTCCCAGGCTACCTGTCCTTGCTTCCACCCTCTGCCGGCTTCCTTTTTGTGTTTGAGTGTGTCCAGGAGCTCCTTGTTCATCCATGCAGGCCTCCTGGCCTTTTGACCGATTTCCTCTTTGTTGGGATGCATCGCTCCTGAGCTTGGAGGAGGTGATCCTTGACTATTAACCAGCTTTCTTGGGGCCATCTTCCCTCCAAGGCTATTTCCATTAAATACTAACAGAAGTGACTCCATCATATTGTCACTCCAAAACCAAATAAGATCATTCTAAAATTATAGTATTTTCTTTCTCACTTTTCCCATCCTCTGTATACACAAGATTCTTGCAAGCAAATTAGGCAGACCTTAAGTATCCATTTAGAAGCTGAAAGAAGCTATTTGCAGATATTTAGTCTGGATGAGGTGGTTTACAAAACTTCTGATCAGCTGTAGCTAGAACAGTGAAGGCAAGCTCACAATTAAAACAGAAGCAACCTATCCATTTACAAAATCACAAAACTGATACAGCAGGTTATAAGATCATATTTCTAAGGAACTACTTTGTATTAATTTTTCTTGCATTCATAAAATTTAAGGAGATAATATTTTGCTTTTTACTTGACCATACTATCGATAAGTGCCTATTCTGGCTTTAGGCCTTGCTTATAGGAAGTCACATAAAGCGGGCAGTGAAGCTGTAGTGGAGTACCGACATGGCAAGTCATGAAAACCCATGAAATAAGCTCTCTGTGTATATTTCTGCATAATAAAAGCCTCAGATTTTTGTTACCCTTTTTTTATTCTCTTCATGCAAGCATACTTCTTACAGGCATTACTTGCACATCTTCAGCATTTATTAGGTATTCTGAACTCCAGCAAGAACTTGAAAACAAATACAGCTTTATAGTCTACTCTATTCATTGAAGATATATGACTAAGGAGCCTTCTCAATAGCACTGTTTTGTGGGCTTTCTGTCATGTAAAGATGGGGAAGCTGAGACATTGCATAGCCTTTCCACTACCCATTCTGTCTGCAACTCTGCTGACTTTTGTTATAAGAATACAGACTGCCTTTAACTTTCTTACCAGAATAAATTCCACTAATGATAAATCATATAAAATGTTCCCGCGTCCAAACTCATAGGATTCTGACCAAGATTCTCAAAAGGGAAGAGACCTCTTTTCCTAACACCTGTTAAGCCCTTTCTAGCCAAACTGGTTCATCTGAGAGTAACGCAGCAGATTTTCTCCTTTTGGTCAGATAACGAAGAGTTGGAAGCAGAATCCGAGTTTAAATCCATATGTGATGGCATACTGAGAAGGTTCTGTAGTTCAAGGACTTCTTAAAAGTCCTTTTAGAGGCATTTACTCATTTATTGCCACCCCAATGCTATCTTTGTTTGCATTTCCCAGTAGTGATCAATACTTTATTGCCTGCTCTTTCACGATGAAGGCCATGGAGGATCAAGTAGTCCAAGAAGAACCAGGATACCAGGATGATGAGGTAAATTTACAGTTCATTGAAAAATATCTGCAGCAAATGTTGTTTGAATATATTTTGATAGTGTTATGAAATCCACAGAGAGACAGGAGGTCGCCAAAGACCATCAGGGAGTTCAAGGCATTTAAAATTTTGTTCCAGTCCAATACCAAGAAAACCTCTCTCCTAGTCCCTGTACAGCCTTGCTCTTCAAGTGCTTGTCATTAGCCTTTCAAAAGCTATGTACAGTTTTTAATGGGATTATCATTATTTGTTTGTATTTTACACTTCTATATTAAATGCAAAGGGACTCTCATTTATTTTTATGCTTCCAAGGAATGGTCATCAGCCTGAAAAGGCTGAGGAACTGGGACGGAAAAAATTAAGATGGTAATGATCATAACACCAGGTTTTATTAGCACAGCAGAGGATTGCTTGCCTGTGAAGATACACTTTATGAAGAGGGTGATAGGAAATGTGTAGGCCTTCTTGGCTCACTATGGCTTTGCTTATTTGGGTAGTCCAACAAGTTATGTATTATTAGGGAAAATCATTTAAATGTTTACAAATTTGAAACAGACACATAGTGAGATAGATGTAATTACAAGAAAAAGCAAAATCTATTTTTATTTTTTTCTGCTTTTTTTTTAAGGAATCTTTTTTTCAGGATATTGACCTGCTACAGAAGCATGGAATTGTAAGTATTAGCAAAGACTTTACCACACAGAATTGCCCGCATAAAGGTATTGTAAGGTCATTTCTCCAAAAGTGTATACACATTGATACAAATAACTGAAATTCCTCCTTGCAATAAATTCTGAATCAGTCATGTGAAGACAAATTTTGCCTTTGGTGATAAGACAGGTTTTCAGAAAATCTCATTCCCATCAGATTCCTGAATAAAGTGACAAGATATTCAAAGTATTTAGCACCCAGCACTCTTGAAAAACCAACTACTTGCTAATTTATTTGAAAACTGTGTGATAGATTACTTCCTGTTCCTGCCAATCTTTGTAATTACTCCTGCATTTTTGGTGCCTGTGAAATTACACTGTGACAATTGTTGCTATACTATTTTCAGCATGCTGGTGAAGGGGGGAGAGTGGGAGTGAAGAAAATATTAGGAGCTAGAGAAATAAGTGGTTAGTTTTCTTCATCAAATGTGAATTCCTACAATCGTTATCATCATCATTATCACGTAAACATCACCTATTTATTTGAATTACTATTATTATATGTTTATCCAGGAGACTGGCTCATGGATCGGAAACCTATTACATTCAGTGTTACAGAAGCAGAATAAAAAGTTGGGTTTGCCCAAAGTAATGTAAGATTTAACTCCAATATAAATGACTACAGACAGATACAGATGGGGAGGACACAGACACAATGAGACAGCATTAGTCAGCGCTATAGTTACTGGGCTCAGCATGTCAGCAGCATAATTGTTGTCAACTTTTTTTATTGGCAATTCATTGACAGTTTTAAAGAGAGTTCTGAAGAAGGATCATGAGGTTGGGAGCTCTAATTATGGGGCAACATAGGAAAAATACACAAATTCTTGTGTTAAAAATTTAACAAGTTGACCAAAGAGGCTGACCTCATGAGCTAGAAGGGAGCTGTACTAGCCTGTCAATATTAAATGAGGCATGGTATGCAGAGAATGATACTAAGGTATGAAAGATCTTGAAAATAAAGAATAATGACTTAGGCTGTTCTTCTGGCTTAATAAGGGTTTCCTGCTCTTTTTTTTTTTTTTTTCTTCCTTCCAAGTGGTTATTCCCACATCCCAGGGGAAGTTTTTGTTCTCAGCTGTGCCAGTTAAAATCTTTGTGTGAACATATGATGGCCCATATCTGTTAAATTCATTTGCTTAAAGAAATAGTTTTTGTGGGTTTAGAATTTTTTTGCTAGTAGAGAGAGAAGTATTTACTAGATCTGACAACGTAGCCACAAAGAGAGTCAGAGTAGCACAACCTAGGCTGTGGTTTGATGTTCAAAAGTGTTTGGTAGGAATTAAGGTGCTGTGACCCCACAGCCTTTGCTGAGTGTTCGTGCCCCTGGAGCATGCTATCCCTTCTTCTGGCATGTCTGCTTTTGTAGTCACCCTGTGAACTGGATTTGTGAATCAATTAGTCCAAAAATTATCACAACAAAAAATGTGGGTTTTTTTTTTTATTTGTAAATTCTCAGTCTGCTCCCTTTTCCACCGCATACAACTGGGACAGGGCTGCAACATAAGGTAGAGGACCAGGACAAGCAGCTGGTGTAAGGGGGCAGGCAAGTCACTATGTTAAACCAGGAGTACAGCTGAACACTTCATAGTATTGAACTATAGTCTAAGAAGGAGTAGGAGTACATCCTAGGACCTTGGTTGGTACGTAAGCTGTTGGTGAAAGGTAAGGGAGAGAACAAGAACTTCTATAACCAAGTCTACCACACAGAGACTTGTAATGCAGAACAGCCTAAAGGCTGATGTGACCAGAAAGACAGAGCCACTGAAGAAATGCAGAAGCAGGGTAATGCGTTTAAGTTTTGGTCTACAAAAAAGATCTTTGCAGCAGTAGTCTGTTGTCTTAATAGAAAAACACAATAAAACAGCTCAATCCTTTTTATATTGCTGGTTATTACATTCTTTTGGGTGGAAGAGTCATTTTTATTCGTGACCGATTTTACCTCATCTGTCTCTATTAATGTAATAATCAAAAAACACATCACAGGATGAGAAATAAGCTTCCCAATGAACATGACTAATTTCTAACGTAGCCCCCCCTCCATTCTTACGTCCTATGCACCCACACACTCTAGATAAATAGATGATACATCCAGTTCATAGTTTTTTTCAAGGAAAAAACTTGGCTGGAAATGGTAAATTGAAGTATTATCCCAAACCTTTCACATGGTATGTTTTCTGGTGAGTAATCTGTTGCTTGCCTTTAGGTTTGCAGTGATATCAGAAACATAAAATGAGGTGAGAGGAGGCAAAGTGTGTCAGTAGGGCGCTGACTGAAGTCATGCTGTACCCAATTTATGAAAAATTAGTAAGTTCATTCCAGCCCAAAGTGTTGGTCAGATCTGGAGGATAAGTGTGTTTTAAACTGGACATACTGTGAACATGCAGAAACAGCACAGCAGTTAGAGTCAGCTTCCAACGATTCTTGCGAGTCAGCTCCCAATTATCCACGATCAGATTATCTGGTTTACAGATTATCTGTGCTAAGGGACCAAGGACAGATTGAGTGTTATAGGGTTTACTAGGTTGGGCTCCACACTGTCTGAAATAATCCGTACTGTTTCTTTACTACCAGCTTGGGTCTAGAAAGACTGGCACTGAACAGGGACAAGTAAATACAACTGGACCCAGGACACCTTTCTCTCAAAAGCACAAGGATGTCTCTGCACCATGATCCCTCACACTAATATTACTCAAAATTTTCTGTTGTTGGTGTCATAACAAAGAGTACTGTAAATCTATTTCTTTCTTTGTGAAAATACACATACTTATGAATGTAGAATAAAATGTGTTTCAAAGATTTACTTCGCCTTCTAGTTGTTAACTGTCACAAGTACTCACAGAAGGGAACTTTCTTCACAGAATGTAGCAGATATTAAAAAACTAAAATCAGTTGGGATCTGCACGATCAAAGGAATCCAGATGACCACAAGACGGGCACTGTGCAATGTAAAAGGGCTTTCAGAGGCCAAAGTGGACAAGATTAAAGAAGCCGCAAACAAGCTTATTGTAAGTCAACCACTTTCCTGATGGTTTAAACTTACGCTGGCCTCCCCAAAATGCTGTGCAATGTTTCTTTTATTGGATTTTTTCACCACATCATCAAGATAATTTTGAAAATTATTCTGCTCGTTACTCTGAAGAAATAATACTTTATACTCTACAACAACCAGACAAATGCTGTGGTGCTTTTCATACACAACCTGTGTAAATAAGGCTAGGGTGGAGAGAAGTATTTATGTGGGATATTGCACTTTACCTTCAGGTTAAAGCTAAAATAAACCTTTCATGTTCTCTTTCGTCTTCCTTAGGAACCAGGCTTCCTGACTGCCTTCGAGTACAGTGAAAAACGGAAGATGGTATTTCATATTACTACTGGCAGCCAGGAATTCGAGTAAGCTAATCTCTACTTAAATCCTTCCTTAGTCCAAATTGTTCCAATAATCATATTTGTTGCCTTTAATGAAACACAAAAATGTAAAGGAACAAATATTCAGCTGGGACACATAGGTTACCTTGCATTTGGAGCTAGTGCTGGCTCAAAGATGGCTGCATCAGTAAGCAACAAAACCAACTCCTTTTCTGAGGGGAAACTAGACTTTGTACAGTCATTGTAAATAAACAGAGTTTGCATCCAGAAATCCTGAATGTATCATCATTTTTTCACCTAGTCAAAACAAACTGCAGGTCGCAGGACAAAATTATAAGTCTTCCAAGACCTCCCTTGAGATATTTTTATGGAATGTTATCTTTTCAAAGGTATTTTCTCTTTCCTTTCTTTCCAGTAATAATTTCTATAGATCTTTCTCTTGCACACAGAAAGGAAGGTTGAAACAGTTAATTCTTTATGAATCAGTGATCATTTAGTGCTCTGCACTTAATGCATCAAGTGAGAGGCTTTAGGGCAGAAACAGCTTTTCTTAAAGTAGCAAAAATTTCTCTTTTTTACTTTCCTCTTGTGATTTTGTGGGTTTAACTATATCATACTCCTCTCCCTTTCTCCAGTAAACTTCTGGGTGGTGGGATTGAAAGCATGGCAATCACTGAGGCCTTTGGAGGTGAGAAAACCACATTAAATGAGTATTACTGAACAAAGAATTGCAACTTAGTTTAGATGTTAAATCAAGCTGGATTACTTCTATCAAACTTACCATGTTGTAGTCATAAAGACAAGTGCCTGCATGAGGGTAAGAAGAAAGAATTCACTTCTCTTAGTATTTTGCCATTTTTCCTCTTCTTTTCCTCATTTGCTTGCAGACTAAGTTTGAGCTGAGTAATCATTAGACTTGGGGCATGCCGATTCAGTACAACATAGCATTATTAATACTATTACTAACGTGTCATATAGGAAAGATTTCCCTGATGCAATTGGTGTTCCTTTCCAGTAACAAAACTGACACAAAGCATATTTTATCTATGCACACTTAAGATACATTGCATGTCATATAAGATTATGAAATCACAATTAAGCCTCTATTATAGTAAATTTGATCAGTTAGTGGTTAACACTTCAACAACAATATGAGTTCATAAAACACAGTACTCTTCCCTTTAGAAAAGATAAACTGCAGACTGACATGATTTGATATAATGAGATTAATAAACTCATAAGCTTCTCCTTGATTATTTTACTGAAAATGAAACTGGGCCAGGTCAGTGGAATCAACCATTTCTTTCCCCCCTCCCTCAATTAACATTTTTCCCCAGGTGCCACGTTGTTTTAACTTCTACATAGAAAAGAATAAATGACCTTAGCAGTCAGGCATGATCAAATTAAAGCATTTCAGATTTTGCTTTTCACGTAACACATTTCTACTGCACAGAATATGATTTATAAATTGGGTTAAATGATTTAAAAAGGTAGAGATAGAGGTGAATTTTGTAAGTAAGAGTGTTTCTAACAGCAGTAACTCCTGAATCTGGGAAACGCGGAAAAAGAAACCGTGATGGTTTTTTTTTTCCTTTTTCTTTCTTTAACAGAGTTCCGGACAGGCAAAACCCAACTATCTCACACCCTTTGTGGTAGGTGTACTAACTTAAAACAGACAGCCGTTTCTTCTCCATTCTTTACAACTATATCAGAATTAAACACATAGAGACAAGTGAGAATCTTTTATCTCTAGAAATACAGTGAAAGAGATCTTGGTGACTCTTACCTCTGTTAATTGTCTTTGAGTAGAGAACTCTTATAAATGATTACTTTTTAATACTGTTCACATCAATGTTAAGTTTTGCCATAAGGAGAGAGAAGGTAACAGACTGTCCTAGAGAAACCAGTGAAACACACCATCTGGAAAAGCACAGCACAAATACGGGTTACAAGTGGACAGGGGCATGGCTCAGAAAAGGGCAAAGGCAAGATTCTTTCTCAGCAACTCTTTTAATTTCCTGGTTTCTAGAGATTTTGCTGAGTATGACATTCTGAAAGGGCACTGAAAGGATACTACTGGCTGACAGTAACTGGATAAACAAAGACTCTGACAGTCACCGTATTTAGGCAGTGCCAAATACAGCAGGACCCTGATTTCCCAGCAATATCTCTCAATGTGTAAATAGTAGTAAATAATAACTGATGTAACTATTAATGCTGCTGGAATATAGTTATCAGACACTGGATAGGCAAACATTCCCTTAAATGAACCCTATATTATAAAGGGAATTATGGCACCTTCTGGAAAAATAAGGCCTCTTCCATTTAGTGCAGTCTAATGGTCAGCAGAGTCATACCCTTTTGCATGAATGATTACAACTGAATGAATTGAGTATTTTAGCTTATTCACTCCAAAGAGACTAAACCCACAATCAGTAACTATTCACATATCAGGAAATACTCATATCCAAAGAATTTTTGATCGTATGAGTTAGAGCTGGAAAAAAACCCTACTAAATCAGTATCATTAATTTGGGCAGAGGATTAAGAGGATGCTTTGTGCGTAAGAACTTATTAATAATACCCTTACCTATTTTCAATATAAAATATACAGATTTAGTGATGGTACTGAGAAAAACACAATTTTGACACCATTAATTAAATCTCATCTGATCTCCAATCGAGAAAAGTGGCTTGGGTTTCTTCTCAAGCTGGCAGTAAGACTTGAGATACTCATGATTTCCACGTTGATTAAAACTGGTGGTTCTTTGTGATATGGATAAGCAGTCGTAGTTTACTAAAAAATAACAATAGAAGGAGTAAGAAAATATTTTTCCCGCTTTTTCATTTTGATCGTCTATGATTCACTGTAGTGACAGCTCAGCTTCCAGGACCAAATGGCTACACAGGTGGAAAGATTATCTTCGTTGATACTGAAAACACTTTGTATCTTTTGGACTGTTGACAGCTACAGGTATGATGAACTGGAAAGACAGTTCATTACGTTATTAGCAAGTAGGAGGCTCCAGATAGCTTCACACATGTAAAATATTATGACTGACACAAAAAGCCTGGAGAGCACAGTGTGTAGTGGCCCGCAAGGCAGTGACTTTTTTCTCTGTTATTTGATGTAATCCAACCTAGAAAAATTAGAGTTAGGATACAGATTTTATTTTAACTGGGTTTTTTGAGATCTAATATGCCTTCTTGATAATGACATAGGTGATAGAAGCTTTTCTATGAAGCTTTTCTATTTACTTCAAGAGAGATTAATCTAAATATTAAACACTATTTTTAACACTTCATATCTGTGGTAGACTGTGTATAAATAGGTTTTGCTCACAGCTAAATTCCTAAAGCACGGATATCCGTATGTCCCACCCCCCCCCTCAAACTCTAAACACAAAACAATTATCATCGTGAGCCCTAAACTATCTTTAGGGTGTGTGAAGAGAAAAAGTCAGTCTTCTCTAGGATCAAAATAAATAATATTCTTTGTTTTTCCATAGTTCTATTTTGGAATGGAGTTTTATTATTTTCAGAGCATGGTTTGTACAAAGAGAAATCCTTAACTTTGACTAATGTCAGCCGACCAGATCGTCTTCGTGACATTGCTGATCGCTTCAATGTTGACCACGATGCAGTACTTGACAATGTGCTGTATGCACGTGCATATACTAGTAAGACCATTATTGCTACTGGCATGATATCTATCTATTTTCTCTAAGGTTCCTGTTTTAATAGTTCTCAGTTTATTAACTGAGATTGCCCACTGAGGATCATAAAGAATGTTTTGCTGCTAACAAAAGAAGTTGTAAGCTTGCTTCCATTTTCTGTTTCTGGTGTTGTACACTGAGCGGACTTGCTCAGCATAAGTATTCCAGCTCAGCTGCACTACATAAACAACACAGTTTTGCAGTTTGCCACAACATTAAGTGAACTCTGCCATGTATATGATGAGTGTCAGCGTAGCATCTTAGTAAGGGAAGCACCAATTAATGTAACCATGATTGCCTGAATGTAAGCTAATTCTATAAATGCTGTTGAGAAATTCTCTATGATCTTGTGAATGGAACTTTATAGGGACAGCTCCAACACACTCTGTCACAAGATACTGCATTAAAACTTCACGGAAGTTTTAAATGGGACTTTTACTTTGAAACTACAATATGAACCTGAATAATATGATTAATACAATTTCTGTGTGTCATTTAATTCAACATTAAATTCAAATGTTTATTTTGCTTTTCAGTTCTTAACACAACAAAAAAGTTGTCTTCATGCATAGTTTTGTTGTGAAGCTTTTCACAAAGAAGTTTTGTTAGCTGGGCAAGTGGAAACTGGAGCCTGCAGAAGCACAGGCACTGCTGGTTATTGTGGAGGTAGCTTGTTACTGAGCACTGGATTTAAAACTGCTAGTGAAAATATAAACAGTGCAGACGTTTAAAGTGGAATTTTAAAATTCAGGCTTTTGTTCCTTCAGAGCTCTTTCTGGTCCTAATTTCATTTGGCAACTGTACTTCCCACCAGGTGAACATCAGATGGAATTGCTTGACTATGTAGCAGCCAAGTTCCACGAAGAAGCTGGTATCTTCAAGCTATTGGTACAAGACTAATTTTTTTTGTATGCTTACTGCTTTCAGAATACATTTTCCTATTTTCTTTCACTATATTTACTTATGTAGCATAATTACAATGCAGATCATTGACTCCATAATGGCACTTTTCCGTGTGGATTTCAGTGGTCGTGGAGAGTTGGCTGAACGACAACAGAAACTGGCTCAGATGCTGTCAAGGCTCCAAAAAATATCAGAAGGTAAGGGAAACATTGCAAAATTTGGAAAATATGGACTGGAGTTACTGAAACAGTAGCTATTGGTAGCATGACCACCTAGTAGTCCAAATGTATTATCAATCAGGCACTGGCCCAGGAATCTTTCCTCACTTTACACCTCTGTCAGTTACCAAAAAGATCAAACTGATACATTATTCAGGATGACAGATTAAGGAGTCTTTAGAACTCTTCAACATTTAGCATTTTCCTAGAAATACTGTTAAGAGAAGTCCTAAATGAGAGAACAGGTTGTAGAACTCAACAAATATCCAGTAGGAGAAATTGTCTTCCCCAAATTTTCACAGTCTAAATACACGAGAAACATGAAGAACAGAAAAAAGGATGAAGACACAGAGAGATAAAAAAGCCATGCCCATTGCCGTGTTCCCAGTACTTTGCAATGCTCTGAGGGATGATGACAGGATGAATAGGGTTCCTCCTCATTGGAATGACTCAGAAATGTTGATGAAGAATGAGTAAATGTTTTTTCCATGCAGTAAATAAAAAAAAAAAAGGCAAACAGACAAAGTGGGGGAGAGGGGGCTGAGGGCAGGGAGCCAACAGAGAAGATGGGAACTGAGAAAGACTTGTTCAGTGGAATTCTGAACAATGCTCATTTTTGGCACAAGTATTACAGCTGAAGTCACACAGGAACAAATTTAGGCTGTCTCCTGATTAACTCCAGCCATCAGACATAAAGAATATTTACTTCTCTTTCGTTTGAAATGTGAAGTGCTTCAGCAGCAGCCTTGCTTTTAGCATGGATGGGAGAATATTTTGGAATTCTAATTGGATATAGTCCACCTTCTTTGCATTGTTTTCTATTGCAGAATATAATGTGGCCGTGTTTGTGACCAACCAGATGACTGCTGATCCAGGAGCAACTATGACGTAAGATACTTTTTCTCTTTTTTAAAAAATGTCTTCTCTTTTGTATTACATATTTAACAGAGATGAGAACTGAGATTGTATGGAGCAAGAGGCACCGAAATGATGGTTGAGATTGGTCATTGGTCTCTCTGGTATGACGAATCATTAATGGATGACACCTACAGGTTTCTCTCAGTTTTCATAATGAGTTTTTTTATATTTATCTGCTGCCTGGCATGATGGCTTCTTTCACGGTGACTTGAACGAAGAGAACAAGCCATAAAAAGTATTGAAAAAGCACCCCATTTTGTTTTGGAGCAGCTTATATGTGAAGTTTAAAGTGTGTATTTCTTGAGCCTCTTGAATTTAATCAGAGGAAAATTATGCCAGCATCGAACATTTGAACATCCTATCTTGAGCCAAGTGTGTTAAAGTCCTTTTTTAATATATGTACCTATTTAGTATTCATTACTGAGTTCAATATGCCTTGTCTGACAGTTAATCACAGTATTAACCTATGGAATTTGCACAGTGAATCATCACAATTTTCTTGCTAATTTAGCTTTCAGGTGGACCCAAAAAAGCCCATTGGGGGCCACATCCTTGCTCATGCTTCGACTACCAGGATTAGTTTGAGGAAAGGGAGAGGGGAGCTGCGTATTGCAAAGATATATGACAGGTAAATCACTTTTTCTTCACAGGAAGGAAGGTGTGTTATGAGCAACTGTAAGGTGACAAAGTTCATGGTATGAAACTTAATAACTTGACAACTCATGCATGGTTTCAAACTAACTGCGTTTCTGGATGGTAAATTGAGAGAAAATCTGAAAGGACAAACTAATTAACAGACTTAAAGTTGTCTTGCATATCGCATTAAATTATGTAATCTTTAATCATAAATCCTCCTAGGTGCTCATCTCTTAAAGAAGACCATCAAATAGTTCGGTAAGACTAGTGGTCCCTTGGCAGGAAAATTCCAGAGCTGTTAAATTACTAAGTTTTGCTGACACAATTAGTATCAGTTTACCTGGTAAGCTGTGGCAGACGCAAGTCATTAAAAATTGTACTAGTGGAACTGCATGGGTAGACCACTGTTTCTGGTCAGGAACTCAGAAATTGAAATGAGAGCTTGCACAGACGAAATCTTTCCCTTTCCTGCACCTTCTCCATTCCCCTCTTTTGTGTTTGTCACCTTCGAAGACGTGGATTTCACATTTTCTGCTCTTGATAATATTGATCACATTCTACAGTTTGCACACAGGTATAAAGATGTTGAAGTATTCCAGGTTGCTTACACTTACAACACTTTGGGGACTGTTTCACAACTGCATTTAACACGGGGAAACCCACAAGTTCCTTGTTTCTTCTTTTTCCCAGCCCTGAGATGCCTGAAAATGAAGCCACATTTGCAATAACTGCTGGAGGGATTGGGGATGCCAAAGAATAGGCAGAAAACTGATGTAAGTGTACAGCTGAAAACCACCTAGGCAGTTGGGATGAAGATTTGTGCAAGGTCACCGACTGCCTGGCTGTATTTTTATCTTTTGGGAACCATTTGAGATATTTTGGGAGAACACTGGGATGAACTCTGTACAGTTCAGTTTTATTGATCTTAATAGAATTTGGTTCATTTCGGGTCTTCATTTTTCAGTTGACCTTTCAGCAAAGATTTAAGAAGTAAGCTTATGAATTGTTCAGAGAATCCTTTTCCTATATTTTGTGAAAATCAAACCTGTCCTTTCACATGAGATTAATATACTCTTTTTTAGTTTCTTTCAAAGAGAGTGTCTATGCAGTAGGATTTAATAGTGCGAAATGGACCAGAATTGGAATAAACTCAAGTTATAAAATTGACATAAATAGATGGAAAACGCAGTGGCAGGAGGAACAGCCCAAGACCCTGATGGACTCTCATGTACCATAGACAAAGAAGTTACTTTAAAAATACGTTTTTAGGCATTTTTATCTTGCCTAGGTAATTTTCGTATTTTTATTTAGCATTTTCTACTTTTTGGAGAGAATGTTTTAAAACTGTTCTTATTAAAGTTAAAAATAAAGTTTATTAATTAAAACAGCACTCTGCTTATGTTTGGGTGCTTTGAATCAAACTCTGCTCTCAATAATTTCACTGATCTTTCATGACAGAAATAAACTGGATGCACCCAGCATTTTAAAACCTTTTGTCTAGTTCTCTAAAGAGACAAACTTTATATAATTGCCTTGATAGTCTCCTAATATAAGTAAGAATATTAAAGATTATTATTAAATAGTATTAAATATTATTATTAAAAAGCAGAAGAAAACAAAACCAGTGGCTAGATAGGGGAAAGAGGCTGACACCGGTACTTACACCGAAGGAAAGGCGCTTACGTCTCAGCTTGAGAGTGCGTGCCTGCAGGCCAGCTGGCACAGGCACAGCTCCAAACCAGCCGCATGTCACGGGGGGCAAACGAAGAAGCCAGGAGTAAAGAGAGAAATGGGGGATCAGGGGACAAAATACCATTTCAGTTGCATTGCCTCCGATGCTCATGGAATTGCTTGTTTTAAAATAAACTCAACAGTTTATATATTAGATGCTTTAAGGGAAGGCCTTACTTTGTCCTCTTGTATAAAAATGCTAATTAGAATGAGTCTAACTTTGGTGTCTCATTAGAAAGCTTGTCCTCACTGATACAAGAATTTTTTCATTTAGATAACTAATGCATGTAAGGTAACACGAAGTAAAAAGGTAGCAATAACCAGAAATTCATCCAAGAAAAGCCTGTCACTGTAGCCAGGGTTTACCTTGTGACAGAGCTAGAGCATTTGCCTTCCTTGAGTCGTTTCTTAACGTATCTTTGATATTTTTCCTGAGGTAAAGCAGTATTTTTCACAGTGGAGAGAAGTCTAGAGAAACAAAGGCAGAGAGGTTGGCTGATCTGAGAGAGCCAGGAACGGATCAGCCATTGTTATTTCATGTTAACTTCTAATTCTTTGCATGTGCCAGTCTTTCCCACACCAGGCATTCGTATCTAATGGCCAAGTATCAAGTGTCAGTGAGAGCCTACGTTGTCACTGGATTCCCTCCCACCACTTAGAAAGGTCCAAGTTTCTTCCAGTATTTTATTTTAAGCTGCGAGATTGCCTTCTGCTTTCTCACATATACATACATACACCAAGTAAAACTAAAATGGTAAACAATTTGTGACTCGTTCCAGGCTGTTATTTGTTTCAAAAGTCTGAAAGTAAAAGCAACTCACTTTCTCTTCTCCCAACATAACTGATTTTTTATAACCTGATAGCCCAGAAAGCACTGCTGATAGCGTGACTGTGGTTTGGGCCAAGGCTTGGTTTGGCTGGTGTACCCAGGTCACCCACCAGACATGGCTTCTTGTGCCAGGACAGACTGACTGGCTACTTGTTGGTAGGTGCTAGAAACACAAGCACAGCACCAAAGAACTTACGGCCTATACCACATTAATTGCCTTATGGCTTATTTTATCATTTAGCGCACTGCTGATAGCGTGACTGTGGTTTGGGCCAAGGCTTGGTTTGGCTGGTGTACCCAGGTCACCCACCAGACATGGCTTCTTGTGCCAGGACAGACTGACTGGCTACTTGTTGGTAGGTGCTAGAAACACAAGCACAGCACCAAAGAACTTACGGCCTATACCACATTAATTGCCTTATGGCTTATTTTATCATTTAGCTAGGAGTCTTGGGTTGATTTGGGGAGCCAAGCGCTAGCCATAAACATTTAGCCATAAACATGGTGCCTATGCTGTGCCTGGTGTCCTTCCAGTACTTCAAAACCTTCCATTGATTGCATGCAGTAACACCACAGTGAGCAAAGGAGTAAATTAGTTATCTGTTTACTTTCTGGAGAGGTTGCCATGAACCTCCTGCAGCTACGGAGGGGGCTGTGGGACCGGGGGTTGCCGGCACGGCCCATTATGCCATTTTCTCCCAGCGCTCAGGCAAAGGCAAACATCATGGCTGCTGTCACTCCCGCTCCTGCCCCAGCGCCGCGCCAATATCCCCTAGTGATCTGCCAGGGAAAAAAGCGGAGGAAAAACCCAA